GAGAGGGAGAGGGAGAGAGGAGAGGAGAGGGAGAGGGGAGAAGGAAAGAGAGAGAGAGAGAGAAGAGAGAGAGAGAGAGAGAGGAGAGGAGAGGAGAGAGAGAGAGAGAGAGAGAGAGAGAGAGAGAGAGAGAGAGAGAAATGGTTCAGGTTAATAGACTCACTCTGGAGGTAGATTTTCTATTTTGAGAAGTGATGTAGAAGTCATGGTGGTTAAAGATTAGGAAAAGTAAAAAAAAAATGGTTCAGTTTAACAGACTCCACATACAAACACACACAAACACACACACACATACAAACACACACAAACACACCACACACTTACACACTTACACACACACACACACATGTGTATATATATTAATATTACCCATTATGCTTCTTAACAGTACTAAGGTACAAATACTTTTCTTCCAGAATCTCCTCACACACAACACATACAAACGCACACACACACAAACACACACAAACGCACACACACAAACCACAACACACACATATGTAATATAATTAATATTACCCATTACTGCTTTTGTTTGAACACGTACTAAGGTACAAATGAACTTTACTTCCAGAATCTCTCCCACATCGAGTCGGCGAGGAAAGGCACCATCAACTTACCTGGAAAACTGGGTTTGATGGCCCTCCACTACTCTCAGATAGGTAAGTCTCAATATTCGCATTTATATTCACATATTATCTCACAAATGCTTTAAATAATAAGACATTTCTGTCGTAATTAAGGGAATTGCATTGTTGTGGAGTCATAGTTTCGGAGCACGTTTTGAAGCACAGTTCGAATCGTTTAATAGGATGTTTCGATACAGGGACAATTCGCACAATTCTATATACTTTCGGTATAAAGACAATTAGAATAATTCAGTGCAGAGATACAGAGATAATTCAAATCATTTACCAGAATAGTTCGATACAAAGGCAATTCAAATAATTTAATTCACTGTTTTCAAGACAAGTCAAATCATTTCGAAAAAAAAGACTTCGCACAACGAAAAACGCCCTATCGATACAAAGACAATTCGCACAATGCAATACGTCATTTCCACACAAAGCCAATTCGGATCATTCAGTGCTTCGATACAGACAATTCGAACACCATTCGATGCCCAACCATCACATTTCTTGACCTCTTACAGCTTGCAAGTGCCTCTGCTATGCCCTGGTGACCTTATTATCCTATAAATGGCTGATCTATCCTCTGGTGGGGTTGAGGTGGGCTGCCAACTTCTGCATCTACTTCTTCAGCAGGAGCTTCAGAAGGTTCGGATCCCCGGGCGCAGAGATCAGCCGAACCCTCACGGCGGTGATCTTTGGTATGGGATTTTTCTTTTTGATTTTATGTCATTCTTTTTTTTCTTTTGATTTTGTTTGTCGTTTTGAAGGTATGTGGTAAGTTTTGTTGTGTGTTTATATGCACACACACACACATACACACACACACAACAACACACACACACACACACACACATACATTATATATATATATATTATATTATATATATATATGAAAAGAATTCATGTTGACAAATATGAATATCACAATACATGAAATATATCTGATCGGTATTGATTATATCTTCGTCAGAAATACAAGATAGTTTATGTTTGGTGCGTGGGTGGGTGGGGACAGGGTGGGGGGGCGTGCATGAACCAAGACCCCAAACGCAGACCATCTTTTTCAGGTGGAATCGAGCTCTTCACCCACTTCACGACCACGAAAGGAAAGCAGCTGGGCTACATCCTCCTCTTCCACGCCCTGGACGGAGTCGAGGTCATGACTACCTTTACCTTGACGACTTTCGACGTCTCTGAGCTGGTAATAACACTCTCACAAGCATACACTTTGGGAGACATGACTTCAGTAACAGGAATTTCTGTAGCTCCAACCATTAGTGGTGCAGTCACAGAATCGCCTCTGCCCACTGCACTGATTTATCTTCGTGTAAGTATGGACTAAAAGGAAGCAGTCACACATGTATTTGTACCCCCAAATGTGCGTTTCTGAAAACCTACAAATACACATATATCTCACCATTATCAGAGCGATACATCAACAATAAACATATATATCTGTACCTATATACAACACGCATATATTCCAACATCCCGATATAAAACATTACCTGTACCCCACATACATATATGACTCCAGCAAAACCTACGAGCACAACATATACCCAACGGTAACCAGAACGACCCTAAAACAACGATATAAGCATCTGTTCGCATTTTAACAAGCAGTCCTAACCACCCTCCTTGCAGGACCCCAAGTACGTCCTCTTAGCCCTGTGGGTCCTGGCGATGCTGACCCGGGCCTTCTACTACGTCATCCTCCACCCGAGTCTGCCCACGCTATCCACCTACTTCCCTTTTTGCTCGAGGAAGGAGAGGATGGAGAGGAAGGAGAGGCACAGCAGAAGAGAGAGCAAGCAGAAGAGGAGGTTGCCTTGGAGGAGGTGGTTTAATGTTTTTTGTTGTTGTTGTCCTTCCTGTCTCTGTCTGCCCCCCTCTATCTTTCATTCCCTTGCTCTCTATCTCTCTTTCTCTCTCTATCTCTCTCCCCTCTCTTTTTGGTTGGTGTATGCGATGTTAAAGAAGTGGTCAAGATATTTGCTTATATATCTACGTTATATCTTTGTGATTGTTTATTATATTCTATGGTAAATCTTTTCATATAGATATTCCTCTTGTCACCAGTCTTTATATAACTTTGATGACGAAATATCATTATTAAATTAATATCTTGTTCAGTCTTCTATTGTCGATATCTTCCACACACACACACACAACTTGTGACCCATAATATGGACCACCTCTAGATTATAAAAAGCTTTTGTTATTTTTATGAATATCTGGGCCATTATGTTAGATATCTAATATGATATATTTTTTAAAGATATCTTCTATGGAGATTATTTACCAAGTATTGCATATTGCAGATGTATGGATGTAGGTCTCGACATAACCAGTTGTTGATATATTTCAGTATCTAGTGCACATTATAGTTAATGGGTATATATCTGTATAATTCTAAGCCAGTATACTTAAGTTCTGATTTTGTATACCGAATAAAGGCATATTCACGTGGGAAAAAACATTTGTATGAATTTCCCAATAGAAGAAAATAAAAAAATGGTCACTTTTTCGGTTTAATATCTAAATATTGAGATTTTTTTCCGTCTTTTAAATCATCCAGGAGACTTAACTTTTTTATGAGTTTGTGATCTGCTGAATCTATTGGGGTAGGAGGAAAGTGAGAATTTATATTTCTTTATAAGGGGGAAGATAATATTTCAAGAAGACAAGAGACGGGAAAAAATACATTTTCGACTTCAATTGGTTATGCTTTTTATAACCCTGGTTAATGGTTAAAAAGCAACATAAATGTGCTAGACATCTAAGGTCATATAGCACTATAGGAAGGTACAGTGAAGGGCGGAGAAGGGTGATAGTTGCTATGCGTCATCTAGAGCAGTTTTGTCCAAATATTTTCGCTTATTGTACCCTTTATTTACCTTCTTGTACTGTTACGTACAACACCCCTCCCATCCATTATGGCCAAACAAAGTGTTTTAATTAGGACGATGCAGATAATATACTAATTATAAAAAGACCGCATTGCAGGAGTGTTGGTCAATAAATTCGAATTTAATACACGAATAAAAATATAATATAAATGTGAGATGTGAAGCGTGTGTGTTCTTTGTTCACGTACCCTATGATCATTGTTGCGGACCCCAATTTGGACACTGTATAGAGGAATATTGAAAGGTTGTAAAGATGGTAAAAGAGTTAATGAGTGAATGGGTTATGGTGTTTATAGCAGGTAAAAGAACAGTTTTACGTAAACAACTAGAATTTTTGTTAACTTTATTATTATATTTACATACATTCGGTTAATAACAATCCCAATCATTCTGCAAAGTTTTATTACCATAATATATCTAAGGGAGGAAGCCACCCTGCCCTGAGATGTGACGTAGAACAAGTTTCAAAAAAAAACAAAAACACTAGAATAAAGATTTATATTTTATATCATATATCCATAGAGTTCAGAAAGATTGTTTACTTTTTTTCGTCGTAAAGATAAAACTTACTTTTTTTTTCATCATCATATTACCGATATATATATATATATATTTTTTCTCCATAACTCACATCTATACACGAGAGTCCATGATATGCGCAACGAGAGAAGGGCTGAAGACAAGCATTTAATACACGGATACGCTGGAAGGCCTTGGGTGAACAGCAAGCAGAGTCTCGGCCAGTTGAAAGCACAAAAGGAGATTGATAACTGTGTCTTTAAGATCCTTTTTAAATCCAAAAATTCGTTTTTTTTTTTTATCTATTTTTTTTTTTTTTTTTTTAGTAGATGAATTATTGCACTATATTACCACCATACATCCAGCAATGATAACGGGTGAGGCTGGGTCAGTAGCAACTCGAGGAGGTGTCAATGGAGTCTGTTTTGATGTTCGTTCAGTGAAAATATAACCATTAAAGTAGTTATTTTTCATCCTTTTTTGGAAAATGGAAGAGACCAAAATGATCGACCATATTCACCAAGCCTCCGTGACTCTTGTGACGTCATCAAAATAAACCCCACGTGTTTTTCTTGTGACGTCATCAAAATAAACCCCACGTGTTTTCTTGTGACGTCATCAAAATAAACCCCACGTGTTTTTCTTGCCACGTCATCAAAATAAACCCCACGTGTTTTTTTTTTCCCCCAAAAGGAGAATCAGGCGCCATGACACCTCCCCGAGTTGCTGCTGATCGAGCCTGTCCCACATGATAACGGTAGAGGAATTGGGCTTATAACAACCTGCACACATCATTTTGACATCTTTTGTGGATTACATTATGAAGTTGCGAAAACGATGAAGATTATAAAACAGAGCTATTGGAATTTGAGGCTTAATGAACATATTCCTACATACGGGTTTATCGAATTATATCAAAGTTTGAATAAAAATGGTGAAGGAAAATTTAACAGGACGAAAAGGAGATAAAAAGAAAATGATTTAAGCAAACGAAGCTAAATATACGAGTAGAAACAAGGGGAAAATATACATAACATACATTAACATATATAATAACCGTAATTCGTTTTTAACAAATTTTAATCTGTAAACCGAATAAAATTTCTTCTAATATCTTACAATGCAGGTAAGCTCTTAATGATATTTGACCGTATGTGATGTCAGCTTTTTTACCTTAGAATGTACCATGCACACAACATTTATAACATTATAGCCTAGTAGAGGAAGGAGATAATGATGATGGGGAAATGAAAGTATGGAAATGATAAAGAAAGAAAATTCTGATGAAGACAATTTTTTTTAGATTTTAAAGTTAAAAAGAAAATTTTAGAATGTCTGGAAAATATTCTGGAGATGAAGACTATGTAATTTTTTTTAGGTTTTGAAGTTAAAAGGAAAATGTTAAAATTGGAAAATACTACAATGTACAAGTTATTAATATGAATGGCAATGTAATGCTTAATGTCCTATATAATTGTAATTCAAATAAAAGATGGAGGTGAAATAAGGGAAAAACGAATAAAAATGAAGGAAATAGAGAGAAAATGAAAAACTGTTTTTAATGAATTGATTAAACATTTCATAGCATACGAAGATTAACAACTTGAAGACAAGCCATTAAAGAAAACGGGAATATGTACGTTTCATACCACAAACTTTTTTATTTTGTTTGATTTTGATAAATATATACAAGGATGAATGATGATGACGGTGTGTGTTTGTTTGTATGTGTGTTTGTTAATGAGTGTAGGGATATGCTTGTGTGCATGTGTGTTTGTGTCGTGCTGTATGTATATGTGTGTGGGTATGTATTTCCGTGTACACGTGCGTATATACGTACATACGTGTATGTGTGCATATACCAATGAACATGTGAACAAATACGTATTCACAGCATCCAAAAAAACAAGAAAAAAAAAACACCATAAAAAAAAAAATCTGAACCACCCTGCATAAACTCCTAAATTTACCTACGATTCTGTGGTTTAATCAATAAAAGTCAAAGAGAGGCATGGATACGGGATCTAAACTACATCTTGGAAGATTAAGTGTTTGGATACAACAAGAAGGCGAGACAAACCGATCTGGAAATTTGCTTGTTGGAATTACGGAATTTATTTGCCAATTACTCTTTTTTTTTCTTTCTTTTTTGAGGATCATTTCACAAATATTCTAACTCTTCTTTGAGCCACAAATCCAACAAACAGATTTATTATTCAATATTAACAGACTTCAATCTTCGGAGAGTTTATTTATTCCAACAATATATATATATTTATTTTCTCGACACTTTCAAGATCAAATTTCCTCAATGATTTTAAGAATTGTTAAAAAAGGGGATTTTTTTTGGGGGGGGGGGAAATTGTCTTATTTTTTCTTTCGTAAGATGATGACAAGAAAATTATTTTACTTTTCTTGATTTTCTGTCGTGACGTCATCAAAGTGGTAGAAGAGGAGAGAAAAAAAGGAAGAGAGAAAGAAGGTAATAAAGGAAAAGAGAAAGAAAGAGGGAAAGTGGTAAAGGAAGAAGGAGAGTAGAAAGAAAGAAAAAAAGAAAGATGGGAAGAGAAAAAATTGCTTTCAATATAATCATCCATTATCTCTATCTCCCTTTCCTTCACATTATCTCTTATCTCCTAAACTCCTTCCTTCATATTATCTCTTCTTTTTTTCTCTCTTCCTCTATTCCTACATTTCAAACTTTTTTCTTTCTCTTCATTTCGTTCATTATCCTTTCTCTCTCTTCTCGCTTTATTCCTTCATATCATCCTTTTTCTTCTCTTCCTTTTTTCTTTACATTATCCTTTCTCTCTCTTTCTCCTTCCGTCACCCTATCAGACCACCTTTCCCTCGAGACAGAAGGTGGTCTTCGTTTTCTCTCTCTCTCCTTTTTTCCTTCACATTATTTCTTCTCTCTCTTCTTCGAATTATCGTTTCTCTGCCTCTGTCTGTTCTTTTTTTCTTCTCTCTCTCTCCCCCCTTCTTTCCTCCCTCACCCTCTCCCTCTCTCTCCTCCCCCGCCATTCCTCCATACAACTTCCCTCTTTCCCTCTATCCATCCCCGCCCTCCTTCACGCCCTCTCCCTCCCCTCTCCCTCACCCCGCCCTCCTTACCCTCTCCCCTCCTTCCCCTTCCCCGCCCTCCTTCACGCCTCTCCCTCCCTCCCCTTCACCCCGCCCTCTCCCTCCTCCCCCCTCCACCCCGCTTCTTCACGCCCTCTCCTCCCTCCCTTCC